TTCATGACTCCCATACTCAAGCACTAGGGAAGAAAAAAGCAACTGCATCTCTTCATTTGCAGTTAACTGATCAGACCCCAGTGAAGGGTCTAACATTGGGGCAGAAGGGACACTGAGGGTCCCACCCCACAAATAATCTTCTTTGACTCATATATGCAGTCACCCAAAATTTCTCTCCCTTTTAGCTTCCCTTTATCGCAATTCTCTGTGTCATTCACTGTTGTTAACTCAGTGAAATAGCTTTTCCTAATGAAGGACCCGCATGTGGGACAACTGCTCCAGCTCCCCAAACTGCATAACACACATTGGCATATTTCAGGAAGGAGCCCTAAAACAGTAGCATTTTGCTGAAAAGCCCAGCAACCATGGCACAGTCCTGAGAGGCACTTTCCAAACATCTTTGACTCATGGAGAACTCAGGGGAGTTACCGAGCTACACCCAGAATTCTGCCCCACAGCTGCCACTGTCAGACTCTTCTTTTTAGTTGGATCTGCTAGCTCCAAATATCTGAAATGGGCATGAGAGGGGTTTTAAATCATTGTTTGTACATCATCATCACAAGTTCTGCTTTGCAACCCTCTTTAGGTAGAAAAACAGCATTAACACAAGCTCCATTTCACAGATTGTTTAGAACAATGCTACACTGTGTTGCACACTTGAACTTTTTGTTTGAACGGGAGGCAATGGCCGAGAGGATTGCAGGTATACTGATAGGATATGGCAAGAGCACTGCAGCACAATCAGAATAAATAAAAATCAATAGAATTCTGCTGGTGTGGGCAGTAAAAGAGAGAAGAATTATTTATCAAGTCTGACAAGGGGTCCAGATCTGCAGGATCATCAGAAGTGTATTCTTTACTTTCATCAAGAAATGCTAAATAGGGCACCAAGATCACCACAGCATGAACAAACATCCTAACATCTTTTCTTGCTTTATTATATCATACCTGGAGAGAACTTTAAAAGAATCTTGGTGTAGCTATGATACTTCTAACACATCTTTTATCCAAGGACCTCAAAGCATGTGACTGACATCACTAATGAAGTAAGTCTTACAACAACCTCGTGAAGCAGGTATTATCATCCCCATTGTACAGAAGAGGAGACTGAGGCACAGAGCACTCACGTGCCTCTCTCAAGTTCATGCAGGAAGTCACTGGCAGAGCTGGGAAGAGAACCCAGATCTCCTGACTCCCAGTCTTGTGCTGTCTCTCCTAATCTGATTATTTATTACTCCTGGACAATCATAAAGGAAGATATGTGCCTCACCCCAAAGCATTTATAATCTAAGGCCTATCCTGCAATCAGATTTGCTGATGACTCCAATGGGGCTCCACATGAGTGCAGAGGTCCATGCAACACATCTGACTGATTCTCAGGCCTCGATCCTGCAATATTCTTATACTGCATTTGTCATTACGATAGCTCAGTGCTTCACACTAACAAGCATTAAAACCTCCTCCAATGAGAGTGAGCTGTTTTACTAGTTTTACTAGCCTTTTTGTGTTTATTAGAAAAAGAAAAAGAAAGGGGAGAAAAGACAGCATATGGAACTTCATAAAAACAACGTTCGAATAGCATTCAACTTTTAATGCAAACAAGTTAGGAGATTCAGGGTGAATGAGTTGTGGAAGCCGCATAGAAAATTTTGAAACACATTAGAAAAACAATTCTCCTAATATAGGCAGTACCAGCATGGTCACCTAACAATTAACAATGCTCAGCTTTGTTGAAATTTTCCATATTTGGTGTCTGCCTCTGGTTGACTTTTTCAGAATACCACAGAGTCAGGTGAAAATCCTCAGTGAATTTCTCAATCACACCACTCCCCTGGCTTTCTGGAAAAAGAAGGTGAGGTGAGGGCCTTGTAGGTCTGTCAACCCAGGTCTCCCATCCAGACACAGAAAAACTGCCCCTAATGTAAAGTACTAGCTTTCTGCATGTGATGTTGTCCCCTAGTGACTAGCCCACAGAGTGAATAAGGAGCCTACTGTTACTACCAGCTCTGAAGCTGTAGCTCAAGTAGTAGAGGCCAGTGTTTTTAAAACTGAAGGACAAGGGTTCCTAGACCCAGTTCTCCAGGTGTGTGTGTAATTTATCTGGCAGCTGTGTTGGTTGTCTTCAGCACACAGGTTCATTAGAATATTGCCCTATTGCAGGCCTCAATCTCCCTGTTATCCTACAGCATTCAGGTAGATAATGGTTTGCTCAGAACAGAGCTGTAACCTATATTGCTCATGTGCAACTCCCAGCACTCGCTGAGGATTTTTGCAGCCTCTGTAAATGCTGTGGAAGAGCCTGTTAGCGCCCCAGGGAACCGGGGCATAGTAGAACACCAGGGGACATGGTGATGCAAGTGCTTGAGAAAAAACTGTGAAAGGGGTTCATTTTCTTACTGCCAGGCAGGCCTGTGCTAAGGCCCCAATGATCTGAGAGACGAGGTGGGCAGGTTCCTGGAAAGAAGAACTATTCGTCAAGCAGCTGGCCATTTCCTGCCACTCCCACTCTTGGGATAGGACTGCAGGTGACAGACCCTGCAGGTGAAGCATCGTAACATGACAACGATATGGTGCAAACGCCATTAAAATGCAATGCCACACTGAAGTGTTAGAGGCTAATGAACTCCAACCTATGATGTCTGGATTGAGCCTGGCAGAAATGAAAAAAGGTGCAGGAGGAAAAAAAATACAAGCAATTCGCCCAGACTCTTAGATGCCAAATTTTACACCAAAAGCAGCCAATTTGTAATTCCTTGAAAAACAGGTTTTATAATGGAAACACTAATAGGATTAATTATATAGAAAAGTTCTGAGCACCAGGCCTTGCTGTAATATGGCCAATACTAAAATCTAGTATTTCTGTCATTGCAGTACTTCAGAGGCTCTGTAGAAAGTACTAAAGGTGGGTGGCTTAAGAAAAGGGGAGATGGATACCAATGAATGAGTATTGATTTCCTTTGAGAAATTCTAGTATGACTACTAAATTAAGCAGCGGAGAGAAGCGTGTGTGAGCGAGGAGTTAAATCATGTTAAACTGAAATCCCAGGACAGAATACCACTTTTGATTTAAAATGATATACAAGGATGAGGAGCATATACATTCAAAAGAGGTTATTTAATTTCACGCAGAATCATCTAAAATAACCAAGCACACCCCTACCAGGAAAGCACTGTACCCAGATGTATCATTTTCTGCTGGAAAAAAACAAGCACAGTGGCAGGCAGAAACAGAATAAGTATGGAACAATGCTGCTGAAGCAACTGAGCGAACTGATTTAGGTTACTTGTGGGGATCCCCTAAACTGGAGAGAACATTTATCAACAAAAGGGAGTGGGGCATTCCAGACACACACAACACAGAGGAACAGAGGTAGCATTGTTTGAAGGAAGCTCTTCCCTGATTGTTTAGACTTGAACACTCCCCTCGTCACCTTGTACAACAGAGTAGGAAAAGTCTTCTTTTTCTAATAACTAACAGCATGCTAAGAGTCTCAGCATACACAGTTTGGAACAGGGAGCAAAAGGTGGAAGAAGGCTGAAACATAAATGTTACCGTATGCACATATGAGCTTGCTGCTAGACATTAAGTCAGCACAGGGCTTAATCCTCTAGCTTTAATCTCCTTTGGTGTTGTTCCTTTGCTACCAAGCAAAATGAGATGTGAGCGTGGATTCTTCTTCTCCCACATTAAAAAATTAACTCTGCAAACACTTATATGCATCATCACCACAAAGCACAATGTCCAAAGAATCTTTTTCCCCCCTAACATAGACCTGACTGGCGCCAGCAGGGGTTGCTCTGTACAAACCAGGTGGTGATTGGTTTTATCTTTTGTTAGTTTAAACAGCAAAAAGCTGAAGCCCCGGAACTGCTCTGTGCTGAAGACATGCAGTAAGAGAGATTAATTTTAGCTAAGGAAATGCAAAAAACTCTCCTCTTCAGCCACACCATTGCTGAATAATCATTTGAGTATTTAAAAATCCCGTCTATGAAATTTGCTATCAAGCCAGTTGCAGAGTCAGTGTCTAGATGCATAACCAATGATATTGTCAGTTCTGATTAATCAGCGGTCCTTGCCAGGCTTATGTCCAATTAGAATTTACCATAATAAGGAGGTGACAGCTGGTGTTGCTAAGCAACTGCTGTCTATAGAGCTAAAGAAGCCAGACGCATTTAGATGTTACTGTGGATTTCGACAGCAACATGTCAAAATAACACAAGCTTCTGCCCAGTGGAAAATTTTACAACCAAGAACTGGGCACCAGAGTGAGGAATGTGTTTCCTTTTCAGCATAAATGCAAAAAAGGAAGATTTGTTTTAAAGCAGAGTTTATCCAGTCAATCCTTACTCTGCATTTAATTAAGAGATATAGTGTCAATGGAATACAACTTTGTCATAAGATAATGGTCTCCTACTGTAAATAAATGCTGAGAAATTTACAGAAAATTAGCAGAAAGATATTTATTTTCAGTCAGTGGTATTTATCTTGCAACTACATTCTATTCCAGTGACCTATTTCTATTATATCCCAGAATTAAAGAATAAAGGGGAGAGGGGGATGAAAAGAGACTAACAGAGGTTTGTGCATTAAAGTGAGAGCTGCTAATTCTGCCAATACTGAAAAGCTGTGTTCTGATTGGTAGAGAGCATTAACCTTTTCTGTACTTTAGTCCATCAGAGCAGCTTATTTTTAAAAGTTTATTTATTTATTACATCTGCTACACTTTTATGAGCATGCTGATTTCTTACTGGAGAAAGTTATAAGGCCAGATGCTCAGCTGATACAGAACAGCACAGCTGTACTGAAGTCAATAGAGCTATGCTGATTTACACCAGCTGAGGTTCTGGCTACACACACAACAATGGGGCTTGAACAGTTTGACAATGACATGTTGACAGTCCTTTAAATATCCTTGAAGTGCAGCATACAAGGAAAGTGCTTGCAGAAGACAAAACATCAGATTCTTTGGATTAAAGCGATGGCACTTACTGCATCTTACCTCTTTCATTTTTGCAGCGCTGAAGGCCGGGGTCAGTATGCTCCGGACTTCTTTCCACCTCTGATCCCGCAGACAAAGAATGCTGTCAATTACTGGCTTGGTAACCAAGCCTGGTGTCTGAATCAAAATAAATTCAAACGGGGGTTAAAACACATGGCACTAGAATTATTTTAGCATCCCAAAAAATTACAAGGGACAGATTCTGATACATATTGAATAGTATCTTCTTCTACAAATCATCCCACTGAAGTCCATATCAAAACAAGGGAGGAGTATTAGAATGCAGCCCTAACATATTACATTGAAATACGGGACAAGGCCCAATCCCAGTCTGTACTCAACACAAAACTCTACTTGTTGGGTGTCTCTCACTGATAGTTCTATCTGAGTAAGAAGCTGAAGATTGTGACCATTATTGGTCAAACGTAATATTACTTTTAAATGGTCCTTTTCCCTTTGTTAGGTCCCACAGTGTCCAGCCCCACTCCGATTATGGGCTTTTGCACCACGAAGACATCCAGCATCCACTAAGCTTGTAATACCAACACCAGCTATGGTAGGGTTACCATATTTAAAAAATAAAAAAAGAGGACACTCCATGGGCCCTAGCCCCGCCCCTTTCCCACCCCGGCCCCGGCGGAGCAGGGTCCGGAGGCACGGGGGCTGCCCGAAGCCGGTAGCGCTGGCTCGGGCAGCTTGGCTCTTAAACAGAGCCGAAGTCTGAGTCCAGGGAGGAGCAGAGCAGCCGCGGGAGAGGAAGTGCCCGGCCGGCGGCTGGGGTCCAGAGGCACGGGGGCTGCCCCAAGCCGGTAGGGCCGGGGCCCG